CAAACTCAGTGAGTGGTTTTGCTATAAGTATTAATAGTTTTAGGAATTGTGCTATAAGAATCACAGTTAGGGTTTAAGCATTCAGAAAAAACTGTAATAAATCAAACGTAAGAGCAGCTGTTGAAAACAGCAGGGTGATATTGTTGTCTTGTAAATGTACTTTTGTGATTAGCTCACACGCACACTTACACGACCGACGCCATGATGGTTTTTTTGTTTTGATTTTTTTCTTGCTCATTATTTGGGACATATTTGCTGCTATTTTATCTCTAGCTGCCTAGAGCAGTCTCTCCCAACTTTTGGAGCCACGGCCCACATTTCACATTAGAAATATCACACGGCACACCATCAAACTAAAATGTCGTTTTCCCCGCGCACCGGGTATAGCGATCGGCTCGGTTTGTCCTCAATATACCTTTTTTGCTTTCTTGTGACCACTACTCACACTAGGGCCTTCGTCTGGGTTGAAATGTTCTCCGGGACCCAGGTGAGATTGACTACTTTTTCTTGTCAAATATTTATCTATTTCGAATACATGCTGCATTGCGTCACTCGCAGCATGGCTATATAATTTCTTCTTCTGTTTTACTGGAAGTTGGCAACCCATTTAATTGGCAAAACGTTACACTGCACTCTAGTGGAAGAGAATGTAATTGTTCTGCCTGTTTCCCATGCCGGTCGCTTAGAGCAGCGGTCCTCAAACTTTTTTGTGTCGCAGATAAATACAACAAAATAAAATCATACGACTAAGACAAAAACTGTGGTATTATAAATATGATAATTAACGCGAATTCACTGTTTAATTGTGTAACTTTATTAGCAGTGTCTTCCTGAAATGTGCCAACATTGAGAGCAACATCCTCCTCTCTGCCCTTTAATGCTCTCTGGTCGCTATGGTGATGCGTAAATATTTCTTTCAAAATAAGACACACAACTACAACACAGGAAAAGACCCAGGGAAACTGAGCTAATGTTAAAACCCCTAAAAACCATAAATTTCACACCCGAGCCTCACCTCTCGCAGCAATAAACAACTCACAGACCGGTACCGGTCCGTGGCCCAGGGGTTGGGGACCGCTGGCTTAGAGTACTAATCAGGTGAAACCAGATAATTTTCCACAGCACACCTGATCATTTCTCACTATGACACCAAGGCACAGTTGTTGGGAAACACTGACCTAGAGAAAATGACCTCTGAATAACTTTTGTTAATTTAGGGAAGCACAGTTTGCCTTTGTGAACACACACAAACTCAGTTGATGCTGTTAGCACCATTAAAGGATTACCTAACATTAAGAATCTAAAAGCAGCATTAGTTGGTTGGTTTACTCACTTCAAACACAATGCTGATAGTTTACATACATTTTTCATGGGAATGTGTTTTTGAATGTGTTATTGTTACAGTTACAGTTCCCCGTTTTTGCCTTTAGTAGATCTACGTTCATTAGAAGTCATGTTTCTGCTTGATTACCAAACACATTTAAGCGTACATGACTCCAGTGTGTTGATGTGAGTATGTCTTTGCGAGCTTACTTGCCAACTTTGTGTTTGCTGTTGGGCAGGTGGGTTGGGTTTGTTCATGGTTTATTGCTCCCTGCTGCTGCTTAAAACGAGGTTAATTAAAACCCTGAAAGCCGAAACTGTATTTGAAAAGAAGCCTGAGGTAATTACTCACACCTTTTACGTTACATACAGGCGCTTGATCTACTGTTTATATTAAAATATGGATTAATTAGTCCAGCTTTTATTTGCGTCTTTGTCAGTGGTGGACTTGCGTGTTATTGATACATGAGTAGCAGTTTTTGAGACGCCGCCTTAAAGACAGCCTCATTTATCTCAATGCACCTCTCAAGGTTGCTTGTGTCGTCTCCTTTAACTCACACAGGCAGATGTTGCTGGCTATAAGCATTGTGCTCTTGTGTCAGAGTGACTAATTTAATCCTGTGTCCTCGTGAAGGTCGAGCTTCGTAAGGAGTTCCAGGCGCAGGAAGTGGCATTGCAGCGTTCACTGTCCAAGCTGAGGAGTGAGCTTCAGAAAGCTCAGGAGGAGGCCAGAGAGAACCGCGACAAGACCAACAGACTGCAGACGTCACTGGCCAACGCAGAGGGAACCATCAAGGTGTGTGGGGTACGAGTGGCTGAACACCATGTTTTACTGTCAAATCAAATGAATAAGACAAAACGATGAAAACCCTCTGGTCCAGATTCCCTTGATGTTTTTGTAATGACAGAAAAATAATGTAGCAGTAGGGCTGACCCAAAATTCATATCTCGATATTTTTTAGCTGAATGGCGATATAAGATATATATCTCGATATTTTTTTATAAAGCCATAAGGTAAGAACAAAAAGAGAGTTCTTAGTCAAAGCTGTGTCCCAGATGTCACATGGGCACTTTTACTAGCATACAGCGCAGATGTACATGAAAAAAACTACTCAAAAATAAATTATGAGCATTTATTAAATAATAATGCTCCATAAATAAAAGAAAACTATGTTGTTTTTGTGCATAACAAAGAGCTCACAATTGTGCAGTCAAAATGTAAACTAAAAGACGCAGAGCATAGTAACAAAGACAGATTTCACAGCTGCTCTCTTTCCAAGTTCGTGACTGACAGCCTGGAGTTTGAAATCCGCTTCATAACCGTGTGTCTTACAGGTGCCATTTATGGTATATGCACACAGTACGGTAATATTACGTTGAAGCACAGTACGTATCACTCCGCGAGGCTCCTCAGTAGCCGTAATGCTCTGACAATCCATCAAGCAGTGGAGCTCCGTAGCTTAGCAAACTCGTACTAAAACATTTTTGACAGATTGCTGAGCGTGGTGTACCACATTAAATCGGTTCGCGGTCATCAAGCACAACCAGAATTCATACATAAGGCGCGCTGTTGATTTTTGAGAAAATGAAAGGATTTCAGGCCGTGTATGGCGTTAGCGTGGTTAGCTCGTTAGCGCGGTTAGCTCGGTTAGCTCGTTAGCGTGGTTAGCTCGTTAGCACGTTGACGGCGTCCAGCCCCACGCACGGGGCGATGCGCAGTAACTCGTTAACGGAGATTTGCCGTGTCCATCTTGTCGCTTCCTGCAGGTGAAGCGATGGGGGAGGAGGGGGAGTTGTGTTCAGTGAAGGAGAGGCGAGGCCGAGTAACGTTGCGTAAAGACAAAAGTGTACGAAAGAGAGGCAAACTTGTGGCTCCACATCTATAATTATAACGTAACATAGACTATATCGATATAAAATATATTGTCACATCTTATATCTCGTATAAAAATATATCGATATTTTAAAAAAAAACTCGATATATCGCCCAGCCCTATGTAGCAGTATGTACTAATGTCGCTACTGCTGGTTTTATCCTTCATCTATTTGCAGGATTTCCCAAAATAGTACAAATAATATAAAGAGTTTTTCTTTGCTTCAGTTTTAAGTACAAAGTGGGATAAATTGAATGGAAAATGTTTTCTGGAAACAGAAAGCCTCGGGGTGGAGAGTGTTTTTAAGAATCTTAAGGTGGTGGGAAATGTAGTGTGCACTGATGGTCCTGCAGGCAGATCTGTTTGGAAGTAGCTCTGAGCTGAGGTTTTAAAATGCCAAACGTTGTATTGTTGTAACATAGCTGAGCGTGCGTGTGTGTGTTTCTGTGCGTGCTGCAGAACCTTCACAAGCAGCTGGAAGAGGCAATCCAGGACGGAGAGATCTGGGTGATGCAGCTAAAGGACACCGAGTATGAACTAGAGAGCAGCAGGGAACGAGTTCAGCAGCAGGCTACTGAAATCCTGCACAAAGCCAGTAAGATTTGACTGCTGGCGTTCACCGCTGTGCTGTGCAGTGCTGTGTGCAGATGTTTCACACATCCATTAAAGAGGAAGTCTGCTATTCGTCATCCTTATTCTCACGATTGTGTTTCTTGTTCCCCGATTTGCAAAAGAAATCCTCACACACTGCTGCAAACGAAAGCGATGTTTCACAACGTGTTTTATAATTGATCGGCGCTTGCAAATTTCAGCTACATTTGCGAGTCCAGCAGAGCTCCTCATGCTTAATTAACCGATGTTGTAAATCTCAGCTTGTATGTTTAAAATTGGATGAGGTATTTCCATTTATTCTAATTGGTCCATTCGTGGCTACGTGTGGCTTTTAGCCTTTTCGTAGACCTCTGTAACCTGTGCAATAAAGTTTGCTAATGACATGATTTAAATTCAGGAGTCAAAACGTGTCTGCGTAGAAACAAATGCATTATAATTTGTTGTCATTTTATCTCAACCGTTGGAGTAAAACAACATTCAAAATCCTCAGACACACTGAAAAACTCAATTCATGTAAAGTTTTTTCTTTTAGTTTGAACAACATTCACAGCCGTTCAGCTGTAGATTTACGAGTTTACATGGTGCACCTGAATGCACCACGAATAGTATATGTTGACGGATTTACAAAGCGGTTTAGACACCCAATCGGTTAAAGTGTAGTTGGCAAGATGACTGCAAGGAGTTTGTGTGCAGCTTTAGGAGTCACGGTCGACGCCTGTTTGTGAGAATATCACGCTGAGAGTGCGACAGCGGGGTGCCGGGCTCCAAAAATAGAACAAACCATTTTGTTCAGCTGCCACAAACGAATGGTTGAAACAGTTTTTTGCACCTTGAGGAAATGTATGTGCATGGATAATTTTTTTCCCTCCAGCATCGGTGCAGCGGAGCATTTTTGTATTATGGAGGGAAAAACAGCTCATGTCTCGTAAGGTCCAGGTTGGTTAGTGATACAGGGCTCAAGCCAAGGGGTGTCTGCGTGTCAGGGTGCTCACGCCTTATACTGTGTGATCTCTACAGAAGCGTCTATAGAAACTTTAAAGCTCTCCTCTCATTACTAGATTGAAATTGAGCTTTTATGTCATAAATAGTCTGAATGAACTCATCCCCCATCTTTTCCTTTAACTGCTTTTCTTTTTAGAACATCTGCTTTCCCTCTGGCTGCTCAGCTAACCACACTATTGCACCACACTGTTCTTCTTGTTTGTTATTTAAAGTTTTTCCCACCAAGTTTTACAAGCAGCTGATATTTTAAATTAGCAGACTGCCTACTTCCTGTTTAATAACTCTACTGCAGAGGCCACTTCTTCGTTCAAACAGCAATAACAATAACGAACACGGCTCCATCTAGTTTAAAAGTTAGCTCAGATTCCTGATTGTAGAGCCTCTTTAACACACACACATGATTTCATGATTTCAATTTGACTGCGTTCAGGTCAGATCGGCTCCTTGCAGGCAACCCAGATGGCCCACGAGGCGACCATCAGGAACTTGGACCAGGAGCAGAGCCGCCTCAAGGAGAAGATCAGCAGGCTGGAGGAGGAGAGGGAGGTTCTGCTCAGCCAGAGCCAGACCGCCAACGACCAGCACAAACAACAAGTGCTCAAACTGGAACAGGTACTTTTTTTATCCTTTCGTCGTCGCTGTCACAAAAAGCCTTTTTATTTCCTCTAATCTGCCTCTTGTCCTCAGTCTCTGCGCGAGGAACACCAGGGCTATGAGAAGGAGCTCTCCAGGTTGAGAGCGCACTATGAGGAGGAGACACTTCGCTTCAAGGAGGCGCAGGTCAGAGCATTGGAGGAGCTCGAGGAGAAACACCAGGTGATGAGAGAGGAAGCTCAGCAAGAGAAAGAGGAGGAGAAGAAACTCCTCATGACGGTGAGTCCAGTGTGAAGGTTCGGTGTTGATGTTGAATCTGACGAATGGAAACGTTTTGGTCCAAAAAACTGTCCTAAAGTCCTTCACAAGGTTTTCTTCATTATTTTCAAGGATATCAAACACTAAATATGAGCAAAGTCATCATTTCAACACAGACAGTGTGACAGACAGATGGTATTGTTGCACATG